TTTTTTTGATTAATGAGCTTGAGGCTTTATTGTATTTGATCTTCAGATATAGTTTGTGACAATAGTACCATATGTGAATGTAAATTCCTCTATGTAATCCATACAAGCTTATCTGATATTGCAAATATGAAATTATATTCCTTAAAGTTTTCATTTAGGTTAATATACATTGACAAGTTCTGTTTATTCTGATTGAACAAGTCCTCTTTTTTTTTTCGGTTATCTATCAACCTAATCTATTCTAATATTTAATTGGTATGAAATGTGCAGAGGGAGGATTTTGGGTCTCAGTGATGTTCAGTTTTCTCAGCCCCATTTATTAACAAGGCGGTCTTTTCCCCAGTTTATGTTTTTGGTTGCTTTGTTGAAGATTAGTTGGCTGTAGGTGTATGGGCTGATTTATTGGTTCTCTGTTCTGTTCCACTGTTGTGTGTCTGTTTTTATGCCATCATTTCTGAGAAGGTGAACAATTCTATAATTGAGAATGAGGATACCACAATAATACGTCTTCTAAAGAAATTTTGCAACATAGGTAACTTTAATAACTAAAATTAAACTGTTCATTATTATCATTAAGAAAAGGTAAATTCCTCACAGTTTGAGGTATCAATGAAAATACAGTAGATGTTGCTATAATAGCATAAATAAAAGGTCAACTTACACTTAGTTCTCTCAAACACTTTCCCAAACCTATTTTAGTTTTTATTTAAAAATGAACACCAGGTTTAAGAAGAAATATTAGTTTTGGATGTTTAAGGTAAGAGTGAACCAGATGCCCAAGGCCCAAACAAAAAAATATTTCTACAAGGTCAGACCTAATCCTGCATTTCCTGAATCCAGATGTCATTAGAATGTTTAATGCATATCTGAGATTATGGGAAGATCAAATTTACCAGATTTGTCTCTCATTGCAGAGGTAATACAAATGTATGACATTTTCTTCTTTGCCTTGAAGTAGTTCTAATATTTGGGTAGGGTGTGTGAGTGTGTGTGTGTGTGTGTGTGTGTGTGTGTGTGTGTGTGTGTATGGGCAGATGCATTTACTCTCTGTATCTGCTGTGCTTGGAGCAGAAGACCTCATTCGGAGGGATAGTAGCCTACTTATGGACTTTAAGAAATCTCTAACTAAAATGGGAGACTAACAAAAAGGTCTACACTAGCTTTATGAATCTAGACTGTTAGGCACTATGGGGCATCATTATATAATCATTTATTAGAAGATATTTTACCTCAAAGAAAAAAAAAGAGTTGAACTAAAATTTGTATGAAGGATAAAAAGAGCAGGTGTCGGGTCAATAATGAGGACTCCTGTGCAGTTACTTTTAGCTTAAAATATAGCACCAAAGATCAATGCAGTGTCTCAATTGCAATTCATTTCTGCTTCCTAGATTGTTGTAGGAGATAAAGTTGTTTTGATGCCGGTGAATGCAGGACAGCCACTACATGCCAGCAATATAGAGCTTCTTGATAACCCAGGGTGTAAAGAGGTATGTTCAAGAGGAAAGGGAATGAATTTGTTGATTTTCTCAGAGAGAGAGAGAGAGAGAGAGAGAGAGAAAGTCATATCATTTATTTCATTGTTTTCATGAGCATAAACCAGTTATTCTAATTAATATTCCTACGTGTAGATAGTGATTAGTTATTCTGTTTTTGGATGGATTTTTTAAGATACTTGGATTAAGCTACATAACTCATTTTCCAAAGTTTTCTTTTTTCTCCCTTTTACTAGTTAAAGTAATAATTTCTGGTACAGAATGGAATCCATAGTCTTATAACTCTTCACATTTCTTCATTGATAGGTGAATGCTGTTAATTGCAACACTAGCTGGAAAATCACTTTATTCATGAAATATAGTTCCTATCGAGAGGATGTATTAAAAGGAGTAAGTATGTGCTACATAGAACATTTGCTAGAAGAAATTAAGGTAGTCTTACTGAAATTCTGGAGGCAAAACCTGTGTATTCATTGTTGTTCATAATTTAGAATGTGACTACAAACCTTAATACTTACAATGAAAGTTTTACTGAGCCCCTCCCACAATATTTTGAAATGTATAAATAATCATTAAAAGCCAAGTAGCTAGCAGAAGGGCCCAGAGTACCATAACCAGAAAGAAACACCTGCTTCTCATGTCTATTGTTCAGACGGTTGTTTGAAAATCAGTGTTTCTTGACCTGTTTTTTCTAGGGTGACGTTGTTAGACTGTTTCATGCGGAACAAGAGAAGTTTCTCACTTGTGATGAATACGAGAAAAAGCAGCACATTTTCCTTCGTACAACCTTACGCCAATCAGCAACTTCTGCTACTAGTTCTAAAGCACTCTGGGAAATAGAGGTGTGTAAATTTTTTTTTTTTTGCTTTTAATGAATATTTAGATAAAAAAGATAAAATTCACTAGATTGGTTGTTTTATTGTTATAGGCCTCATTTAGGTTAGACCCATAAAACAGAATAATTTTTGTGTCCCAACTTGTACTCCTTCATTGCTAGGACCAAATTGAAAGGACACTGCTTCCTTCACCTGCCTTCTCTGGGGTCTCTCATTCATTCTCTCTCTCTCTCTCTCTCACACACACACACACGCACACACACGCACGCATAATTAATATTGGCATATATATATTTTTACTTTTAAAAAATCCATTCTGAGATGTTGTCAAGACTAATCAGACTGACAGACATGTGCCTCAAGTGGCATTGGGGTTCAGATGAGCCGGACAACTCACTTTAAGTGAAGATAGATACCAGAACTACACAATCACTGAGGAAAACATTTATTTCTCTTGGTGATGCCATTTCTTTTGGAATAAGGAGATCTAAAGTTATTCATTCTTTAAAAAGCATTTCTTAAATATGGAAATTTGGCAAAGTAAGAAAATGTGAGGTATAGATTTTTCTTTAAATGGCCTTTCTATGTAGTGGAAGAGATAAAACATACACAATTGCNACTTCTGCTACTAGTTCTAAAGCACTCTGGGAAATAGAGGTGTGTAAATTTTTTTTTTTTTGCTTTTAATGAATATTTAGATAAAAAAGATAAAATTCACTAGATTGGTTGTTTTATTGTTATAGGCCTCATTTAGGTTAGACCCATAAAACAGAATAATTTTTGTGTCCCAACTTGTACTCCTTCATTGCTAGGACCAAATTGAAAGGACACTGCTTCCTTCACCTGCCTTCTCTGGGGTCTCTCATTCATTCTCTCTCTCTCTCTCTCTCACACACACACACACGCACACACACGCACGCATAATTAATATTGGCATATATATATTTTTACTTTTAAAAAATCCATTCTGAGATGTTGTCAAGACTAATCAGACTGACAGACATGTGCCTCAAGTGGCATTGGGGTTCAGATGAGCCGGACAACTCACTTTAAGTGAAGATAGATACCAGAACTACACAATCACTGAGGAAAACATTTATTTCTCTTGGTGATGCCATTTCTTTTGGAATAAGGAGATCTAAAGTTATTCATTCTTTAAAAAGCATTTCTTAAATATGGAAATTTGGCAAAGTAAGAAAATGTGAGGAGATCTAAAGTTATTCATTCTTTAAAAAGCATTTCTTAAATATGGAAATTTGGCAAAGTAACTAAGAAAATGTGAAGTATAGATTTTTCTTTAAATGGCCTTTCTATGTAGTGGAAGAGATAAAACATACACAATTGCCTATGAACAAGCCAGCATCTGATAGATTCCATCTTGATTTAATGGATGTGTAAGCCTGGAACGGTGGTCTCAACTATTTTGAACACATCACCCCCTGCCCCCTTTAGAGCATTTATTGTGACACTTCCTTTAATATCCCAAAATGAGATTTGTAGGTAATATTATTTATATATTGTCACTAAAAAGTAATATAATGCTCAAATTCTAATACTTAGAAGAAATAAAAGGGAAATGCTTTATAATAAAATAATATGTATTTCAACATGTAAATGACTACTCTAGAAGATTTATACGTATCTTTGATGGAAATTGAGTTGATAGGGTATTGAGAAGGTCTGGGGAAAGCAACCAGTGCCAAAGCTGATCGCACACAAGGCTGCATGGAACCCTTCCCAGAAGTCTACCTCACCTATCACAGTAAGACTGAAAAATAACAGGCAACCGAAAATAAATACATAATTAAAACATACATTTTCACACCATAGATTTCTCATCATCATGCTCCAAAAACTTAAAGAATATATAGTGATAATGTGAGATATTATTTAAAAATCTTATTAATGAAATGCAGTGAGTTCCCTATATTTCATATATCTCTGCCCATTTAATGTTTCTAAATTCAGATTCTGTCTGTTAAAAGGAGTTTTGAAAATTCACTCTTATATTTGCTTTTAGTTTTATAGCTGTTGCTGTAACTGTACCACTGCACTGAAACCCTTTCCATCAAAATGCATAGTTGGAAATGCTATTACACATCGAACAGTCAGAAAAGAGAGTGAATAAATTATTTAACAATTTTGAGAGAATGGCTTTACTTCATTTAAGCTTCTCTCTCCATAGTGAATTTCTCTTAAATTACTGGACCTTTCATATAATTTGAAGTAAAAATGCTTTTGTATGATTATGTGCTAAAGTATTACCAATTTGTATTTGTGGTAGGTCTATTTCCATGGATTTGAAAGATGCAGGCTGCGGGGAATTTCTCTGTTGAGTGCTGTAACAGTCAGGAAGCCTGAGCATGCTAAGTTAGCATGAGCATCAGGTGTTTCAAGCAAGGAGGTATTTAATATAGGAAATTAGGTTTGACATTATTCGAAGGGCTGGAGGAGGAAAACTGGGGTGGAGCACCTGGGCTTATCTGACAATCTGGCACTACTAGAAGCCACTACCACCATCCTCTGAGTCTGCAGCCTCTCCTTGTGTGCTGCGGGGTCCTCATCTACTCCCTCCCACCCTCACAGGAGCCTGCACTATCAGCTGCCACCACTGTTACTAGAGACCAAAGAGGAGCCTCTCTTCTACCATTCAGAACCCTGCTGGGTGAGGCTTTCAGCTCCTGTGACACAGGGAGCACTTAGAAGGGTGGGGATGGTCCTGGGCTACATGCACTATCTAGCACAAGCTGGACTTCCCTGTGAATTGCAGGACATATAGTATCTGGGACACTGCCCATTAACTGCGAAAAGCATCTCTCCATAGTCATCATAGTAAATGAAAACACGCTTTTTTCCAGGTTCCCAAAATGTCCCCTCTGGGAACTGTACTGCCATTGCTAGACCTACTAGTGTACAGTATAGGATCGGAGTTTTTAGTCTGGGTTCCACGGTAAGCTTCAGGTTAACTCCTAGCTCTGTGTATTTTATATACAAAATGTGTGTGCATGTACACATGTGTGCATGTGTGTGTATGTGAGACAAACAATAGATTTTATCACATATCTCTGCCTTTACCAAAGGAGTTCAAACATTGATAGTTCACAGTGGCTGTTGTGCTTAGCAAAGGATCGGTGGAAGAAGTTTGATATGAGAACTAAGCCTTGAGGAATGGGTGGGTATTTGGTCACAGAGGGAGTGTTTTGTAAGCAGTCATGCACTTTGAAGTATTTTCATAATTGTTGTCTTATTTAAGCTTCGAAGTCGGGGAAGACTGACAAGCTGGAGTCTAGCCAAAGGTGTTAGGAAGTTAGATATGTTAGCACACAGAGTGCGAGGCTGCGGTGGGAGCTAACGGGTGGTCAGTACTGACAAAAGGAAGGCAATCTGTTCAGGGAGAATAGTGACAAGTTATCCTAGCACCCTGATATGCCTTATGATATTTAATCTTCACTACAATCCTGGGAATTAATCCCATCTTGTACACGAAGAAACAAGGCTTGGAGATGTTAAATTACTTGCTGTGATCATACCACAGCATTTGGTGGAGCTGGGACTCCAATATAGTGTCTGAGTGCAAAATCGGAGCTTCTCTACTGCACTGTACAACCTGTCATAACCCGTTGTGGGTTCTACTCTTTCATTCCTGGTGAGCCTAGAGGCCAGCACCTGGGGCAAGCCCAGTTCAGGTAGCAGAGGACATGGTGTTAAGAAAAAGCATACATGGAAAGGGCCGAGAATTACATTAGTTTAGACCTCCAAGCCCTGGCATTTGTGGTTCTCTGCATGGAATGATCCCTTCCAGTCTCCGACACGGTTGCCTCATTCTCGTCCTCCAGGTTTCATTTCTCATGTCACCTCCCAGTGGCCCATGCTGACTGCCATATCCAAAGTAGCTTTCCCTAGTTGCTCAGTCATGCACTCTGTTTTCTTTCTGGCATTTGTCAAATCCTATTTCCCTGCTAGTTCTCTCTCTTCCCCATTAGAATGAAAGCTCTAGCCTTGTCCACTGCTGTGTCCCGATGGCCTTGAAGACTACCTGGCACATAGTAGGCTCTTAATACAATCTGTTGAATCAATGTTTGAATGTCAAATGTGAGGAAATGCCACAGTATTTCCAGTTTTGGCCTTGGAAACATGTCGTTGGGAGTAAGGCTGTGTTTGCAGATGTTAAGCATGAATGTCACATGTGTACAGTGAGTTAACAACTGTTACAATATGTCTCTTGCTCATTTATGGGGGATTTTGTTTTCTGTCTCATTGTGCTCTCATGAAAGCATATATTCAATTTGACAAGCCAGCATTAACAGGAGGGCACTCATGTAAACTGTTGGCATTTGCTTGCCAGGAATATCAATATCATTTTGCCATTATTGTCACTGCTCTCTGTCTGCAGGTGGTTCATCATGACCCATGCCGGGGGGGTGCAGGACAATGGAACAGCTTGTTCAGATTTAAACATCTTGCAACTGGGAACTATTTAGCTGCAGAGGTAAGACTAATGGATATAGTGCTATTAAGTCTGTGACTCTGAAACAGTGAAAAAGGCAGTTGAATTCTCAAAAAGATGTTGTCTTTGCAGGAATAGTCATTATATAAATTTGATTATTGCTTATGATGATCTGGATTGGCATATATATTATCCTTAGATTATAAATATAAGTCAGAATCTTAAAATAAAACCTTAAATCAGCAATAACAACAAAATTCTGTAGTTGGCTTACTATAAGGTCAACTGAAATGAAGCATCTGATCGGCATATGTATGTGATTTGTTCTAAAATTTTCCATTTAGCATTCACCCTTTCAGAATGTCTGCACTGGTGACGTGTTCAGTTCATTGTTGATGTCCTAAGCCTAGACAGCTTCAGGTTTATTTTCGGTGGCTGCTCTTTTGTTGGTGGGTGGCTTTTATTGTTCAAACCATTGGGGAGGAAAGAGTTTTCATCCGGAGACACCGAACTGCCCTAAAACTGTCAATAAAAATGGTAAAAACACATAAAGTCCTTTTCTTTCTCCACTAAAAAATGTTGACAATCAGATAGATATGAAGGGTGGGGAGAAATAACATTATAGAGGTTTTAATAGTTATTTAATTAAGGTTTGGTTATCTAATTTAAAAATAATTTCAAAACTATTCTTTTTTAGATATATGAAAATAGCCATTAATTCTCCTTTCCTCAACTCTGTTTCTCTTTTTCAATTCAGAGTTTCTTCTGAAATTTCAAATCAGAATTTGGTTTTAGAATTTTTGCTATTACTCACCTAACTTTTGGTTTTGGATGTGAGGAAGAGTTAGGAACGAGGTGGGGATGTAGAATTGATGAGGAAAAGGTGTGCGGAATAGAAGCGGGTCCTACAGTTTCTGTGAGCATCTGGCCCCTGTCCACATTAGCACCCGATCCCGTTACCCTTGTCCTCCTACTAATCTGTGATAATCTTCCTGTAGTACCCACTGCCCGACCTATTGTACATTTTATTTATTGACTGTCTCTGCCAGTGGAATGTATGCTCTCTGAAGGCAGGAATTTCTTTCCCATCACCACTGTGTCCCCTGCACTTAGAACAAGGTCTGGCACTTAGAAAGCATTTGATGAATACTTTTTGAATGAATGGATGAATATAAAGAAGCTATTTAGGCTTCTACGAGATGAGAGGATGGGAAAAGGAGATTTCAGGATTTGTATGTGAGAGAAATTTGGAGTCATATTTGGGCAAATAATCTCTCTAAGCTCCAATTTCCTCCTGTGGGTAATAGGGATAATCTCAATATTTATATAATAAGATTATTAAGAGAATTAAATGAGGTAAAATTCTTGGCAGGAGGTTTGACTCATAGAAAACACCCAGTAAGTGATGCCAACATGATAAATTTTATTATATGATAAATAGGGATTATTCTTACTTTTATAAATATCCAATACATTATTTACTGCTCAAATAAATGAAATATAGCTCTGCAGTTTATGGGCTGTTTATACCATAAGTTCTTTGAAGTAACCCTTTTGAAAAATAACCATTTGGAGCAAAAATCATCAGTAAGATAGAGAATCTTGGCTAAAATAAAAATTAGAAAAGCCTATCTAGGTGTCCTATAAAAGATAAGAAGTTAGGACTAAAATCCTTTTGAATCTTATGTTAGTGGCTTTTTTTCTCTAATTCACTTTTCAATCAGTGGCTTTTTTAGCTACTGACACGCTGTAGAAAACTGACACAGGATGAACATTACTAGTTTTCCTTGTTAATTTCTGTAATTAAAACTTGTATAATTTGATGCATTCAAATGATTAGATTATTAAGAATTAAATTGTTCATTAACTTTGATGAAGATCCAAGACCTCAATGCATAAATGAATTCATTAAAAATTGAAAAATGGAAGGCAATTATTCCCTGAAAAGAATTTGAAAGACTCTTTCATTCTATCTCTAGAGAATGCTGCTTCAAATGCCAGATGCCATTTTGTCCATTGAAGAGTCTGATGTATTTGGGGGACCTTTTCTTTGGCCTTTAATACTATAGGTAACATTTTTTTTTTATAGAAAGGTGAGAGAAGGAGAATTGAACATTAAATCCGTACCTGAAAATTGAAAGCTAGGAATATATTTTCTATCGATTTTAACTAGTACAACAGAATGGGTGCTTCTGTGTAGTATTCTAACATCAAAATACAATCATAGACTCAACTTACCAACATCCATAAGTTGGGGTTTTATATTTCCTATGTCAGCTAAGTTCAGACAAGATCCCAGCACACTCATATGTCTCAGGATGCTTGTCCTCAAAGCTGTGGAAATGACAGAGGTGTGGCCAAATCACAGTGACTGTTGCCACTACAACTTCATAAAAAATAGATTTCCAATTAGGAAATAGGTGATAACTAGCCTCTGACAGCATTGAGAAGCAATGATTATCCATATATCATATTGCCTTGTAAAAATAACCATGTCTTTAATTTCAAAGCATTTCTTATGTCATTGAGATAGGACGGGGGTTCCCAACATTTTGAGTTGCAAGCTCCTAGTGTTATTTGTTTTATTTCACTACACCCTTCTTCTTAGGTGGGAAAAGTCTCCATGGCTTCTATTCATTTTACTTTTTTCAGTTTTTCTCTTTAATTTTTAATAGATATTATTTAAAAAAATAAGACACACATACTGGTATGTCGAAATGCAAGAGATGGACATGATTGTTTTTGAAATTCATAAAAACAGCAAACATCATCTTTAAGATTTTGCACAACCTTTGGTACATGTTTCTTTAGTGCCTGATAAATGCACAGCATGGCAGAGAACGCGGCAGGTACAGCAGAGGAAGCAGAGGACTCAATCTTTGTCCTCAAAGCATTGACCTTCTAGTTTAGAAGATAGCATACCAAAAACGACCCTGGCCACGGGCAAGATCTTGGAGGCCTAATTATGTGTGCAAGTGAAGTTAGGTCAGTGTGAAAGTAGTGAGAGAAGGCTCTCACTTGAGGCGAACTTTTCCCTTGTTCTCAAAGAAAGTCATAGACTTGGACTGGCAGAGAAATAACAGGACAATTCTTGCAGAAGTTGCCAAGGAGACATTCCAGGGACATGGAATGTCCAAATCATATGTAGACAACATAAAAACCAAGTCCTAGCCCAAGGAAGGGGTTGTGAAAGGGACTGCTGAATGACAGATCCCTTTGCTTTAAGATTTTCAGGGAAGGTTTTGGATTTGATCTAATTAGTAGTAGGAATGAAGTTTAAGGAAGTTTATCCTGGTAGCCACCTAGAGACTGGGAAAGAACAGCTATTTGCAAATTTTGGTAGAGATTGGTGACTTCATTAAAAAAATAATTTCCACCCTTGAGCTCCCAGTACAATGTGATAAATACATGATAGCAATATGAATAGTGGCATACTTACAGAGCAGTGCTAAAGTGCAGCCCTTCTTTAGTAGTGGGGGCCAGGGAGGCACAAGGAATGGTCAGCAGGTGTTAGGAGGAGCTGCTTGATGGATGAGTGAGGCAGATGGGAAGAGAGTAAGGGTGTTCAGGTAGTGAGGACAGCTTGGACGCAAGCGTCAGTTGTTGTCACACAACTGGTTTCATATGGCTGATACCTAGGACATGTGAGTTTGGAAGTGTTGCTAGAAGGTGGGAGGGAAATGACGGGGCCAGAAATGTAGTGTAGCCAATCAGTTCAGGCCATTTGTATTAAATTAAGGAGAATGGGCTCTATCTTTAAAGCAGGGAGGAGTACAATAAGTACATTTGTGATTAAAGAAGACCACTCCAGAGTTGTACTGCCTAATATAGTAATTAGCCACATGTTGGCTATGAAATTAAAATTAATATTATTAAAATTAAATAAAATTTAAGTCAGTCTTTCAGACACAAAAGCCACATATCAAGTTGCTCAGTAGCCACACCGTATGGGGTAGAACAGATATGGAACATTTTTATCACCAAAGAGAAAGTTCTAGTGGGCAGCACTGCTCTGGAGCCTTTGTAGAGCAACTAGAAGAGATTGAATTTAGGGGCAGGGAGATCAGGTAGGAGACAGGTATGACACCTTCAAAGAATTTTGTGCACTCGAGCCAAGGGAATGGCATCGGCAATGGCGAGGAGGGAAAAATTGAAGACATTTTCAGGAGACAGAATCAATGGAGTGGCAATCCATTGAATGTTAGGGGTTAAGGAGAAGGAAGATGCTGGCTTTGGAAAACTGGTGATGTCATTCACCAACTTGGGGAAAATGGGAAAAGGTGCCAAGGTGATGAGGGAAATAATCCATCTGATTTTGATTATGTTTGATTGGAGGTGCTTATGAAATGTCCAGGTGAAGGTGCTTAATAGAGAGAGGATCACAACTTCTAGAAGTTTGGGAATTCACCAGGGCTGAAGTAGATTTGAGTTTAAATGGCATGGATAAGATCACCAGGGAGTGTGAAGAGAGTGTGACAAGTTTGAAGATGGAACCATCAGGAGCATCATCTTTCAAGGGTGGGCAGAAGACTGGGAACCTAAGAAGCCAGAGAAGCAACTGGAAAATCAAATGGGCTGAATTACAAATGTCAAGCAAAGGAAGACAGAGTCTCAAAAAGGAGGGAGTGCTACCGAAAAGGTCAGGAACAAAGTCTGTTTACAGCATTTGGCAAGAACACAGTCATTTGTGACTTTATTGAGAGCATTTTTAGTGGAAACCAGAATGCAGGAGTGGAGGAGTGCCCCGGAAGCCAGGAAGCATAGGGAGTGTAGGCTGAGTTTTCACAGCGCGGCCATGAACAGGAAGACAAAGGGGAGGAGATAAAGGGAAAGTAAGAGTCCTCTTAGATGGTTACTATAAAATCTATTAAAAAAATAAGATGGATGAGGATCATACTGTTTTTGCATTAAAAGGAATTACCTAGCAGAAGAGCAGGATATAGCAGGGAATTACTCTCTTGTCTCACAGCTTTTCCTCCCTCAATAGACATGTTTATAATTTAAAATATTACTTTTATTTGCTTTAGGCATTCCTGGTAAAT